GACGACCAGCAGAAAGTACCGCTCGTGGCCCTGTCCCCGGACGCGGGCGGGGCCCCACACGTCCAGGTGGAGAGTCTGCAGGGGAGCCTATGTGGGAGGGAACGAGGAGGAGTGAGGAGCGGCACGCTGCCGCCCCTCGATACAGGGAAGACAGGGAGGAGCAGGCGAGGGTGGCAGGGGAGGGAGAACCCTGGGAAGACCAGAGACAAGGTACCTGGAGTGCATGCCGCAAAGGCGCTGCACTGACGGGTGACCAAGGCGGTGGTGCCAGAGGACAGTCCTGTGCAACAGGGAGCGACACGAGCAGGGGGCCGACAGCTGACCTGACGCAGACGCAGACGCAGCTACTTGAGGGGACTTAGTGGTCAGTGTGTACAAGTCCGACCTCGGCTGCCGGTGAAGGTAGCCAGGTGACGACCCGTCCGGGCACACGTGCAGTGCGTCACACGCTCGTAGGCCGGGGTGAACTGGTGAACACCCGCGTCCTGGAGCGCGGAGACCGCCACCAAGTTCATAGAGAACGAGGGGAGGTAGAGGCCCGACAGCGTGCCAGACGGGACAGCAGGACAAGGGAGGGCAGTGGTGGAGGTCGTAAGGACCGGACCCCCGGAGGGGTCAGCCAGGGATACAACAACCGGTCTAGGGAGCTGCTCTAGGGTAGTGCGGTCGCGAAAGAAACAGCGGGAAGCACCTGAGTCCAGTGTGAAGGTGTGTAGTGCCTCAGTAGGTGCGGTACCAGCAGACGCAGACGCACTAGCACCTAGGGCGGCAGCCTCACCAGGACCTGGAGCAGCAGACGCACTAGCACCTAGAGCTGCAGCCTCATTGGTCCCAATACGTGGGTCGGGCAGTACACTCAGGTAGCAGTCACCCTCAACACTAATAGTCAATGCATACATAGCAGCAAGGATAGCATCATAATCAAGAGCAAAGATATCAATCCCCTTCCTAAGCAGATCAGCCCAACGGGGCAGCTCAGAGGCGTCAGGGAACTGCTCGCGCTAGGCGTCATCGAGGCAAAAGAAACAGCGTTGCGCCGTGTGAAACTTCCCACAAGTCTGGCCAGTGCGGTCACCTGTGCGGATGACGTACGGGCAGGTACCTCCACCCCCAGACCCCCCACGCTGAGAGTACCACTCACGGAGCTGCTGGGGCGAGGGAGTCTCACCGGGACACTGCTGCTGCTGCCTCTGGCCACCGCCAAACCCCCCACGTAACACCGCTCCACCGCGCCCGCCACCCGCTCCAACGCCGCCACCACTGCCACCACCGCCCCCACCACCCCCACCACCTCGGCCGCCGCTGCCCCCTATGCCGCCACTGACCCCCCCACCACCCGCGCCTCTCCCACCTCCGCCACCACCCCCGCCCCCCCCACCCCCTCCACCGCCGCCGCCCCCGCCTCCACCTCCACCACCCCTGCCTCCCTTGCCCCTGGCGCCCTTGCGCCTCCCACTAGGAGCAGACGCGGCCCCGACCCCCTCAGCTCCGAGGTAGTCGACAGCAGCAGTAGATGCAATGGAGGGGAGGAGGGGGGAGGGGGAGCATCCCTCAAAGAAGGGGGTGCGGGGGTCACCACGAGAGGCAGCTACAGCTACAATGCTCTTCTCAGCTGCTAGGAGTTCCTTCTCGAGGAGGTCGACAGTGAGGTCAGTGGGGGAGAGGGCGTGAAACTGGTCCCTGACAGTGCAAAGGGAGTCAGGGAGGCGGGTGTCAAGGTGGTACAGTGTGAGGTACATCGGGAGGGGGGGGGGGGGTTCTTGGCGAGGAAATCTGGGGGGAGCGCGGCACGGTAGCGGAGGTCACTCGTACGGAGGTGGGTGATGAGGTCAGCTACAGTGGCAAAGGCGGACAGGTCGAGGAAGAGGTAGGGCAGTGAGAGACGGCCTATAGCAGCAGTGGCAGGGGAGGAGTAGCGCGCGACTACTGCGTCGTACAGCTCCTTAGCGGTCTTATGCAGGCCAAAGTGCTCGCGCTCATCTAACGGCAGGTGGCTGCGAACGGCTAGGCGGGCGTGAGCATCACGGGTCTGCCACTGGGAGCGAGCAGTACTGTCAGTAGTAGCGGGAGGTGCGTGAGCAGCGCCAGACGTGTGGTCATACAGGGAGACATCGTCCTTGGCAGTGATCTGGAGGAACAGGTGGAGGTCATCTAACCAAACTTCAAACTTAATCGGGCGGCCCTCAGCGTCAAAGGTGAGAATAACGGGAGTGGCCATAGCGGCAACAGTAGCAGTAGGAACAGTAGCAGTAGTAGCAGTAGCAGTAACAGTTGCAGCTGAAGCAATAGTACGACAGGAACAGGAGTTGCTGCAGGTGGGGCACAGTAGGGCGGCACGGCTCAGGTCGGGCGGCGCGGCTCGGTTCTGGCGGCGCGGCTCGGTTCGGGCGGCGCAGCTCGGTTCGGGCGGCACGGCTTGGCTCGGGCTGGGCTACGCGGCGGTGCGCGACGAGGGGCGTGCACGTGGGCGGCTGTAGCGGGCGGGCCGCGGCTGTGTGTGGGCTTGACTAGCGCGCGGGCGGCGGCCTAGAGGAGCGTCGCGGCGGCCTACGGGTGGGGCTGCGACGCTCTGGGCGCGCTGGCTGCGACCTGCAGGCGTGCGGCTGAGGGTCGCGCGTTGGCCTAGGGGCAAGCGAGGCCTACGGGCGACGGGCTGCTGGGGCTCGCGAGAAAAAATCGGGCCGCCCTGGGCGGCGGTTTTCCTACACGCGATAAAACGGCGGGGCCGCGCTCGGGCTGCTAGTGGGCTGCACACGGGCAGCATGAGAGGAGAGCGCACGAGGGCGCACTAGGGGAAAGGCGCACAAGGGCGCTAAAAAAAGGGGCGCACGAGGGCACCTCTAGCGGAAAGGTGGGCCCTTAGGTCTAGAACCTAAGCTGTTAATACCATGTTAGAAACAAGAAGTGATTGAACTATGAAACATTTGAGTACAAGTATGAAACCCTAGAGTTGTGTACCCCTTAAAGGCTAACCCACTATAGCCTACACAGCATTAACACATATATAATGTTTGACATGATTTTTATATTTGCGGCAAGGCGGTCAGGTCACGTTGCTCCGCGACAGCTGCCAATCGTCCGGGTTGCACTGGGAACCAGCCAGCCTAGCGTCGGACGCAAGCGTGCGATTTACTACCCAGTTTGAGGTTATAAGAGGGCCGCATACTAGCGGCTAAGAGGCAATTTGACAGCCAAGTCTTTGCCGCCAACTGCACGCATGTCCGGTATGGATTTCCTCCTACAGTACGTTGCAAAGAAAGCCACACATCTAAGCCTCTACCTGCGAGACTTGCGCTAATCTCCAAAGACACCCACTATTTGCCAGGTGAGGCAGTTCCATCCCATCCACACGCAGCCCTATCCACACAGTCCCATCCCCTGCGGCCAGGTGAAGCAGCCGTCTTATCAGGATACTCTCTGCCGCAGAAAGATGGTCTAGTTATAACGTGAGTCTCCTGGTGGCCAGGAGCGGTAGACCCATCCAATCCCAGACCTATCCCATCTGCCAGGTAAGTCGGCGCCTTCCTGGCCTCCTTGTCACGCATCCGGTGCAGCAAGCTGTAGCCTTTCCTACCTACTACTTATGCAGCTTAAGGTGTCATGTCGACCCCAAAGCTCCGGCAAGACTTGTGCTTGCCACTCTGCTGTCTGTCCCAACTTTTGTGGGCCAAATACATTCCTGAAGTTACCTAGACATAACTTCCAAGCTCCAATTCGAGGTGCTCTTACCATATGAGTGCTGTCATAGCATCTCACTAAACTGCTTCTCGTAGTAGCCGCTTCCACTACTCTCAACTCAATCTGCTTTTGAGTTGACTCAAAAGCAGGCTTCTCGTAGAAACCGCTTCCAGTGCTCTCAATCTTTGACGGACTTTAAGATGGCGGCACGCGCCATTGCCAGATGTCGCTGGCTATTGCCGGTGGTCATTGCAGTCCTCTTGACGGTTTTCGTCAATGCGTCTAGTGGCAGCGAGTTCACGTTCAAATCCACCGCCGTGAATGGTGGTGGCGAAAGTAGGCGTCGCAACGATCTACCCCTCCCTTTTTCTCATCTTGTTCTTGACGGTTTTTGTCAATGCACACACTTCTTACGGTTTCAGTCAGTGCACACATTTGGAAATTTTGGCGAAATGAACCCAGCGAAGCTGCAGCGCTCCCTACTTCTCTCTTTCGTACCCGTGGCCCCATTTCGCTTCCCTTCCTTCCTCCTTACCTTTCCTACCCCTTCCTTCCTGTCCTTCCTTCCCCTTCCTTTCCCTAATTTTTTATTCCTCCCCTTCCTTCCCCTTCCTTTCCCGTCCTTCAACCTAGCAGCGATCAACGGCCAGAAATCTCCGGGCCGGCATCTGGCGGGCAGGGTGGGCGAGTTTGAAGGCCAGCTCAACTATTACCTGCCAAAAACTTGTAGGTCAGCTGACGAACCTTGTTACAACCTCTTGCGATTTAAGTCACCTGGCAAAAGCCTTTCTTCAGGTCAGGCCAGTAGCTAGTCATTTCGGCTACAGTTTGTTGCAGCTCCATTCAATTCCCGTCCCCCTTTCCCCTCCCACTCCCTTTCATCAATCCTCCCACTCTCTTTGCCTCCCCTCCCTCCCTGCCACGCCAGGACCCACCCGGAGCGAGTCAGCCTCGCGACTCGTCCACTCGACTTTCCTCTCTCAACCGCAGGCTTGCCTGGTGTGCTCCTCGATTTCTACGAAAAGCCTTCCTTCTACAATCCTCTCCTCCGCAGCATCGTCAGCAATCCGAACCAGCCAGGCAGCTCGGGTGTCGCGTCAGGCGCCGGCGCCACTTCGGGTGGCGATTCCGGTGACGGTTCCCGTGACAGTCCAGGTTTCAAACCGGGTTACATCAGTTCAAGCGGCAATCGTACAGGGAACAAACCAAGCACAGCCACAAACGATGTGTTACTTGGTGAATCAGAATGGGCCCTGCCGCAGTTGCGGTGCCACGACCCTCCCTGCCCCTCCTTCGGCTCATGCACCGCCCGCTTCCCCAACATGCAGGCTTGCTGGAACCCCCACCTCGTGGACGAACCCGAGACTGAAATCATCCCCCCTGTAAATTGCCCCCTTAAACAAGATAGCGCGGGGTACGACAAAAGCACTCATATAGTGCCGTTTGACGAGTCATGCTCGCACAGGGGGGACTTCAACAGACGCAAGGCGGCCACGCTGCAGATGATGCGGCTGGAGGACGTGTTTGATCATGGGTTTGCTCTCAACCGCACACACCTGTTCGTCAGGCGAGGATATCCAAGCTTTCCAGTAATAGTGAGTAGGGGTTGTGTGGAAGACAGGGAGAAAGTGCGTGTATGCCTGCGCGCGTGTGTGTGTGTGTTATCATGTCCTCATGTTCTCATGTTCTCATGTCCTCATGTTCTCATGTTCTCATGTCCTCGAGTTGTGCACTCCCTCCCTTCTTTTCCATTCCACTCCCTTACCTTACCTTCCCTTCCCTTCCCTCCCTTCCCTTCCACCAGCTGGCCACGTACGATGCCAATCACATGGTGCACAAGCTGCCAGCAGCCTTCAACTAGGCGCACCGACCTGCTAGTGCTTTGCGTTTGGGGATTCTCAGCAGTCTCTTCCCTTAATCCCCTTCCCTTCCCCTATCCCCTTCCCTTCCCTTCCATTCCACCAGCCGGCCACGTACGACACGGGTCACATGGTGCACGAGCTGCCAGCGGTGTTCAGCTGGGCGCACCGTCCCGCCAGCAACTTCTTCCATTTCCTCGTGGAGCTTGTTCCGCTCTTCCTCGTCGCCGCGCCCCTCATGCCCTCCACGCTGCGACACCTGCCCGTGCTCGTCAGGCGTCACCAGGTGGGACCACGTGGGGTGTGACGCAAGCTGCGCATGCACACCTCTCACAGTAGCTGGTGTAGGCTCGTCCTCGCCCGTGCTTGCTGTTGCAGCAACGTCCACCTTCCTGTGTTCTCCAGGCGTTGCCATCTTATGCCCATTTTAAACTCGACCGCCAACCATTTCTCATCCCGTGCCTGTCATTCCCATCGTATTGCCCATCTCATTTCCATGTCATGCCATGTCAAGTCCATTCCTCTCCCCTCAGGTGCGAGAGTAGCTGGGTGCGCCACTCTTAGGCATCCTGCCCGATAAGGTTCGCCTGCTCCCCACTTACAAAAATGACATGTTTCACGCAGATGTGGTGTACCAGGTAAGAGGTTTATTCCCCTTTTTTTCCCCTTTATTTCTTCTGTTGGATTTTTTATGTTTTCTACTATTTTTTTTTACTCCGACAGCCAGTCATGTCCATCCCTGTTCTCCCACCGCCAGCATGTCATCTCCCTTCGCGCTCCATCTGACTTACCTCCTCCATCCGTCCCCCAACCCATATATCAGGACGGTCACTATCCCATGCGGTCTTTCTAGAATTTTCTGCACCGCTGCCATCTGTGTCAACCCTCCAGACCATTCGCCTAAACTACAGTGCCATTCCCTCCCATCCCTTTCCCCCAGCCTATCTATCAAGAATGCCACACTCCCAGCCCGTCTCTCTGGCAAATGATGCGGCGCCGCCATCTGCTGCACCCGTCCGGCATCCCTCTCTTCAACCTTGACTGGACTTACCACAGCCACCGCCCTCTCTCCCTTGCTGAAGCGCGCTCCTTCCCCTCCGACTGGGTGGTCGTGCTGGCAAAGCGGCTGAAAGGGAAGAAACGGGCGGTGGTGAATTTTGAAGAGGTGGAGGAGGAGGTGGTGCGGCCGTTTGGGAGCAAGAGAGTGGTGCTGCACACTGGGTCGATGCCGATTCTGGAAGGTGGGTTTTACTAACAACTACTTCTTACAAGTTGAATCAGTTGCTGCCACATAAAGACCATAGCTCCAGTCTGGAGCTCCAGTGGTGCTGCATATCGGGTCGATGCCGATTCTGGAAGGTGGGTAGACCAGAGGGTCCACTCCTGCTAGTCATTCTCTTTCTTGTGCGTTGGTGACTTTTGAGTCGACTGAAAAGTACCTCGTGTTGGTTGGAAGACAGTGGTGCTCTCTAGTGGTTCGGGCAACCCTCTTAATCTATAATCCTGTCCTTTTTTCTTTCCACTAACCCTCTTCCACCCGCCCCCCCCATCCCCCGCAGCGCTTGCGCTCTTTCGGCGAGCGCGCCTCTTCATAGCGGCACACGGAGCAGCACTCACCAACCTGATCTTCATGCCGGGAAAGGCGTCTTTGCTTGAAATTCGGCCCCAGGACTGCCCAACCTGTGTATACAATGGTCTCGCCTCTGCCTGCTCGCTGCGGTACCATCTCGTGTTCAGCCAAGGTAACTGTTCGTCCCGTGTGGTGGCTAATGTGACTAGTGTGGCTCGGGTGCTTGATACAATACAGGCTCGGTTTCAAATAGAGGATGCTGGAGGTGAGGGCATGGGTGCAAATACTTGAGTCCTATAGAAGATGTAGAGGGTTGTATATTTCTTTTTAGCAAGGAAAGGTGGGATGTTTTCTCATGCGTGATGTCTATTTCTTCTTTAAAATCAGAGCTGTTACTTTAGGTTAACCATTCACAACAGAGCAAGTCATTCATTGTTTGAGGAGAATGGTTGATCCATCAGCCGCGGTTCAAGAAAAAAAAAACTTTTTTCAGCCCTTTTGTAAGGGGAAACAAGGGGGAAATTGAATGGTTAAAACGGTGCTAGGTACAAAAAGAAACGCTGAATATATTTACTCTTAACCAAGCTTGGGCGCGCCAAACTGTACAAGAACACAATTCATACAAAAGAGGCCACGTAAACGCGCAATACCACCCAGAAGGAAAATACATTCACAGTGCCTCCAACAAATCCGTATCAACAATTCCAATTGGGCTTGATTAGTACAACGACACACCTCCATTATCCTCCTTTTGAATTCGGGCATGAAGCGAGTCAAGCACCTCAGCCACATTCGTCATATTATCCACAATCAGCGAGAACCAATCACCCTTGCTGAAAATGAGATGGTAGCGCAGGGAGCAAGCTCTGGCGAGAGCGTGGTACACGATCACATGGCAACCCTCAGGGCGAATCTCGAGCACCGAGCTTTCCTCCGGCATGAAGACCATGTTGGCAAGGGCCGCTCCGTGGGCTGCTATGTACAGGCACGCTCATGAGAAGAGCGCACGGACTGAGAACGGGGCGACACGGAAGGAGAGGGGAACAAGTTCAGGAAACGGAGCAGAAGATGAGGAGCGAGAGGTCCCAACAGCTCACATGCATGGCTGCAATGAAAGAACAAGCAAAGAAAATATTGGAGCATCTGGAAAATGTTCAAAAGCTCAAACCGCATCACCCACCTTGCACAATCACCCACCCTGGAGACACCACTCACCTTGAAGAATCGGCAGCAACCCGTTAAACACCACCACTCTCTCGTGCCCTAACCGCCTCACCACCTCCGCCTCCACCTCTTCAAAATTCGCCATAGCCTGCGTCCTCGACTTTGGCCACTTCCCCAGCACGACCACCCAGTCAGAGGGGAGGGAACGAGCCTCGGCGGGGGAGAGAGGGCGGTGGCTGCGGTAGGTCCGGTCGGGGTTGAAGAGAGGGATGCCGGAGGGGTGCAGCAGATGGCGGCGCCGCAGCGACTGCCAGAGCGACCGGCTGGGGCGGTCGTAGTCTTGGTATATGGGCTGGGGGATGGGGGAGGTGGGGGAGGTGGATGAGAGAGGGAGGGGGGCGAAGCGAAAGGAGGTGATGGGGATGCGGGATTAGGGCTCGGCTGGGATGGTCGCTGTCTTGGTATATGGGTTGGGGATGGGGGGTGGAATGGGGGAATGGGAAATGGGGAGAGAGAGAGAGAGGGGGGAGACGGGGAATGAGGGCTCGGCTGGGATGGTCGCAGTCTTGGTATATGGGCTGGGGATGGGGGGGATGGGGGAAGGGGGGGGGGAAGGGGGGACAGGGTTAACGAGGGAGGTTGGGATGGTCGTAGTCCTGATATATGGGCTCAGGAATGGGGGATGGGAGGGAAGAAGAGCGGGAAGGGAACGAAGTGGGAGAGGGTTCAGGAGTGGGGCGAAAAGAGGAAAGGTGAGGGAAGAGCGTGAGAGAGATGGATGGTTTGAAATCAGGTCAAGGGCAGATGTGAGAAGGTCTGATCTGATATGACATGCCATGGGATGGCATTGGATGACATACCATGGCATGGGATGAGATGGCATGTGATAGCATGGTTGGCATGGCATGGCAAGGCATGGCATGTGAGAATGCAGCCTACCTACTCCTTTCCATCTGCATGCCATGCCATGCCATGCTATGTAATGCCATGCCATGCCATGCATGCCTGTACCTGGTGCACCACATTGGCGTGAAAGAGATCTTTGCTGGTCATGGGAAGCAGGTGAATTCGATCTGTGGGATGCCAACGAGTTCAGCCCCCAACTGCTCATACATGCGCACCTGCTCGTGGAACACATGGCAGGGGAATGGGAAGATGGTATTGGAATGGGAATATGGGATGGGATGAAGTCACATGTCGACTCAATATATGCCAACGAGTTCAGCGCCCAGCTGCTCGCACATGCGCACCTGCCGGTAGGAGCGGCATGGACATGGGTGGGTGGCAAGGGAATGGCATGGGAGGCAAGGGAATGACACTGGAATGATTTGTTAAGTCGCTTCAAAACGAATCTGATCTGCTGGGACGGATGCCTATGAGTGAAGCGGCCATGTGCTCATACATACGCTCCTGCAGCAATGAGTGCCACGGGAATATGGGATGGGAATGAGTTTTCAGTCGACTGAATGTATGGCAATCAGTGGAGCACCCAGCTGCTCATACATACGTGCCTGCCTGCAACGAGTGGCATAAGACTATGAGATAGGAAATAAGCTTTAGTCGACTCAATGTGTGCCTATGAGTGGATGGAGCACCCAGGTGTTCATACGACATTGCCCAACAGCAGATACCCTGCCCACAGCACAATAGTGCAGCGAGAGGGTGCAGCTGCAACAGCTATTGTAAATCATCCAAATGGCTGTTCAAACCGAACTGAACCCACCTGGACACTTCTAGCGAGAACAGGCAGGTGGTGGTGGGCGAACATGGTGTTGTGCGGACATGGTGTTGTGCGGACATGGTGCTGTGCGGACATGGTGCTGTGCGGACATGGTGCTGTCCGGACATGGTGCTGTGCGGATATGGTGCTGTGCGAACATGGTGCTGTGCAAACATGGTGCTGAGCGGACATGGTGCAAGCAAGGGCTTTCATACAAGTACTGCTCGAGCCATACCCACCTGAGCTTTTTTTTCTGTTCCCTTCCTTCCTTTTTTTACTCAATGTCCCACCTGGACGTCCCTGGTGAGCACAGGCAGGTGGCACAGTGTGGACGCCATGAGAACCAGGATGCCATGAGAACCATGATGCCATGAGAACCAGGATGCCTTGAGAACTAGGATGCCATGAGAACTAGGATGCCATGAGAACCAGGATGCCATGAGAACTAAGAGGCCATGAGAAGCGTGTCTTTCTAGGCGCCTAAGAGATTGCCATTGCCTCACTCCAGGCACTGCTCAAACCGAACCCCACCCACCTGGATATCCCTGGCTAGCATGGGCAGGTGGCGCAAAGTGGAGGCCATGAGAGGCGCGGCGGCAAGAAATATCGGCACGAGTTCAACGAGGAAATGGTAGAAGTCGTTTCCCGCATGGACTGCCCAGTTGAACACTGCTATTGGCAGCTCGTGCACCGAGGCGACGGGGAGGCGTCGTGCTCCATGGTCAAAGTCGTAGAGTCGACCGTCTCTCTGGCACCGGAGGGAAGTATTTTGTGGTGTCTGTCATTGGCAACACTGCAGAGTGAACATTTATGGCAAAGATGTGTGAGGAGGAATCCTTATCAATTTGTGTGTCATGTATCCATTCCGATTTCGTTCTATCTGTATGTATGCCATGCAGTTAGATTTAGGGGACATGCAACATCACATAGATAGATTTGATCATATCTATTGGGACTATTTGTATAATCTCATTTTTTTTATTCATTTCTTTTCTTTTTTGGCCGGCCACCCATTTTCCTCCCCCCGCCCATCTTTCAAAACTGCCAGCATCCCAGCCGGTCGCTCTGGCAGTTACTGCGGCGCCGCCATCTGCTGCACCCCTCCGGCATGTCAAAATCCCAACCACTAGACAATTGGGATAAATGGGCTTGTTAAGTAGCGGGTTAGTGCGCCCATAAACCCCCAGGCTAACATGCCTGTATCCCTTCCCTAGGATCAATCGGGGATCACCAGTGGACCTCTGATACCCCCCCGCACTGGGATGCTCGAAGTGCACACACTAGGATTCGAACCCGAGACCTTCGCTCTGATAACAAGTCAGAATCCCAACCACTGGACCATTGGGATAAAAGGGCTTGTTAAGTAGCGGGTCAGTGCGCCCCCAGGCCAACATGCCTGTAACCCTTCCCTATGATCAATCAGGAATCACCAGTGGACCTCTGACACGACATCCCTCTCTTGAACCCCGACTGGACCTACCGCAGCCACCGCCGTCTCTCCCCCGCCGTCTCTCCCCCGCCGAGGCTCGCTCCTTCCCCTCCGACTGGGTGGTCGTGCTGGCCAAGCGGGCGAAAGGGAGGAATCGGACCATGCTGAATTTCTAGGAGGTGGAGGAGGAGGTGGTGAGGCAGTTTGGACGTGAAAAGGTGGTGGTGTTTGATGGGTCGCTGCCGTTTCTGCAAGGTGAGGAGTGTGCAAGCGTGCAAAAGTTTGTGTATATACAAACATGTGTGTGTATGTGCCCTTGCGCACGTGTAGGTGCGTCTCAAATAGCTACTGAGGCTCAAATAAAATGACTAAACCTTTCTTCAACCACTTCTCACGATGTAGGAGCATTGCAGTCATGCGTGTCGTTGGTTGCTGCGAGTCCCCAGCTCCTTTTCCTGGGTTGCCTTTGAAGTGACTTTTTTAGTCGGCTCAAAGTCACCTCGGTCGCTTTTTAGAACTCTCAAAAGCTTCACATTCGCGAATTAAACCCATGTCGCCATTCAAAACATGTTGCTTTCCATACCGCGAATTGTCTGTGCCCCGTCCACACCACGCTACTTTTGAAGCACCTAAAGTATTGACATTCGCATTTTGCATCCTTACATGCCCATCTACACTCCGCTTGAAACTTCCCCTTTCATGCTGCCAAGCCGCAATCACTCTCGCAATCACTATCATGCCTCATGCTGTCATGCGTCTCAGCACCCTCCCAGTATCAGATTTCTTCGTGCACAGAGGGTTGGCGGTTGGCTTGGCGGCATGCCTTGGTGGCCTGATCCTACATAGCAGGCCAAGGATGTGCCATAACATTCAGTGTCGTTACACTTTTATTTAAATATATATATAAATAAATAGCAAAAAAAACATTTTTGAGGAAGTGATTCTACATAGTAGGTCATGCATTTGACATGTCTTAAATACAGACTCCTACATATCAAACCTTACTTTTTTCCGCTACCCCTCCGTTCCATTTCCATTCCGTCCTCTTCCCCTTCCAGCCCGTGCTCTCTTTTTGCAAGCACACCTCTCCATAGCATCACACGGAGCCGCTCTCACCAACATCATCTTCATCCACAGTCCCTCCCACCTCTACATTCCACTTCCATTCTCTGTTCTATCCCTTAAAACCCCCCCCTCAGCCCGTGCACTCTTCCGGCAAGCACGCCTCAACACAGCATCGCATGGAGCCTCACTCACCAACATGATCTTCATTCACAACTGTGAAAGAACGAGGAATGAATAAACTAGCAAGAAGGTGGGTACAAGTGGGAGAACCTAAAAGTGTTGTACCCCATATTGTCTACCCCACTACAGCCTACAAAGACTATAGCATATGAGTTTGACACACCCCCATAGGCAAAGTGGGGGAGAAAAAGAGGTCACAAGACCAGTCAAGCAAAGCAAAGCAAGCTCACGGTGGATCACAACGTCACCACACATTCCGAGCACAAGTCCAAGGCCACAAGGCCAGTTCACATGCAAGATCATAAATAAAGGTAAACAAGCAATTGCAAGTATACAAAGATCACAGTACAAGCAAGGTCAAGAAGTGAGCAAGTGAGGCCAAGTAGGCACAAGACCTAGCATCGTACAGAAGCGCTGATGATCAAAAGGCGGAAGTGCCTTGGTAAAGATATCAGCAACGTTGGCCTCAGAGGCCACGTAAGCAAGGCGCAGCTGACCACGCTGCTGCAGCTCACGAGCAAGGAAGTAGCGAAGAGCAATGTGCTTCGTTCAGTGCTCCAGTCTGTGCTCCCGACACAAGGCCAGCATGGCCTTGTTGTCTACGTACAGAACTTGAGGAGAACGAGGCGCCTCTCCTAGGTCAGTCAGCAGGTAGGTGAGCCAGCGTAGCTCTTGTGCACCCATGGCCCCCGCGTAGATCTCAGCCTCACAGCTGGAGCCGAGAACAGAAGACGAGCAGGTAGACCGCCACGAAACAGAGCCGGAACCAAGGCTGAAGGTGTAACCCTGTGACGACCACTGCGTAGCCTGGTCGTCAGCCCAAGAAGCGTCTGCGTGACCTGTGAGGACCACTGAACGTCGCCCTCCAAGCACTAGCCCCATGCTCGACGTACTGCACAAGTAGCGCAACACCCTCTTCGCTGCAGCCATGTGCTCTGGTTGGTGTCTCCCAGGAGCAACATAGCGTGCCAAGATGCTAAGAGGGTATGCAAGGTCAGGTCGTGTGCAGGTCATCAGGTACATGAGGCAACCAACAAGCTCTCGGTACAGGCCACTCGGCTCTACGGACTCATCAGAAGGCAGAGCTGAGAGCGAGTGGCGAGTAGACAGAGGAGTGGCCTCAGGCGAGGAGTACGTGAAGTCGAAGCGCTGAAGGACCTGCTGCACCATGTGTGACTGAGTCAGGGTGATGGTGTGCTGTGCTGTGTCCAGGGTGATCTGCAAGCCAAGGTAGCTGCGCAGCTCACCCAGGTCTGTGCACGTGAGTCTCTTCTGAAGCTCGGACTTCACGTGGGCGAGTCCAGCAGTGTCAGAAGTGGCAAAGACCAAGTCTTCGACGTACACAAGGATGTAGAGCGGCGGCAAAGAGGTATCGGTGCGCAGAAACCCAATAGATGGGCCGGCAGTAGAAGGAGCAAACCCAAGAGCCGCAAGTGTAGTCCTCAGTGTGTCGTGCCACTCACGGGGCGCCTGGCGGAGACCGTAGACTGGCCGCCGGAGGCTCCAATGGGTACCAGGAGGAAACGACCCAGTGAAGCCAGGTGGGCGGCGCAGCCAGATCTCCTCGTGCAGGCTGCCCCGCACAAAAGCTGTGCTGAAGTCAAGAGAGTGAAGCTCGTAGTCGCGCTGAGCGGCTATGTGCAGCAGCACCCGAAGAGT